GCCAGATGGCGACTGGCGCCCTCCACAACGAAGATTGAAGAACAACAACTTGGCTGGTCCTCTTCCCCAATTCCCCAACACTGTTCCCCTCCCCCAGTTCCCCAATAAAATCTTTACAAAATAAAAAAATAAAAATTTTATTCTTAAAGAACCTGGGACAAAAGATTTTATATCCCCCTACACATATATATGATATTTCTTTAAAGTACATTAGGTACCAAATGAGTAAAATTATGATATTATAAATTCTAGCTCTACTGAAAATGTATTTCATTGTGTCAAATTACTTTTGATGATGAGGTCATGGCTAACACAGAAAAAGGTAGAGTTTATACTGTCGTCAGGGGGAGGCGGTGGGGGCCATTATAGTCCTTTTCTTTATTCAACATTTGGTTTTCATTTTATCTGTCTTGTGTATATTGAGTTCTGTTAAAATATTTATTGAATTACTTTTGTCTTTTTGGTCCTAAAGATCTGTAAGTAAATAGATGCTTAAGTTTTTCCCTTATTTTTTTCCTAGGGAACAACTCCAAGTTTCCTTTGGACAGTACACCAGTTCGAAATCAAGGTGGTGGAGACGGAGATTTTCAGTTCAGACCATTTTTTGTGGGTTCTCCCATAGCACCTGAACCCAGCAATAGCTTTTTTAGTTTTGCCTCCCCAAGTCATGAATTAGAGCAGCAGCAAGCCTCTAGTAGGGCCTTTAAAGTAAAAAGAATTTAGCTCACTTTACAGAATGTTTCTGTACTTTAAGTGATGTTGTTTAGCGAATAATTTTATTCTAGGTAGAAGTCACCAACCTCCCTGTGCTGTTGGTGACTCCCTTCCTGTACTAGTAAGTCTTTGAAGTTGTCTTCACATTTTCAATTTATAAGAAACTCAGTGGCAATGAAGAGTGGCTTTAGAGTCTGATTTCTTTTTCTGTTTCCATTATTTAAAGCATGAGCATTTTACTAAACTCAATTTCGTTGTAAACTGTTTGTTGAGTTTTCACCACTAGTAAAAAGATTACAGTATTATTGGGTATTTTGTCAATCACCAGTTGTTTCTGTCTGGGCTATTTGACTGAGCTATGTGTCTTTGCATATGTATGAAAGCACCTATGTTATATGTCTACATTTCACTTTGGGTTTCAGTATTTATGCATATATGTATATGTACCTTTTTATTGATATTTTGCTGTATTTGCTGGTATATTTATGTGAAGATTTTGGTCTCAGAAAATGGCGGGTGTGTCTGTAGTTTGTTATTTGGGTGTGTACATCTATTTCTATACATTTATGCACTTCCTCTGGTATTAACTTGTTTGGAATGTTTATGCTCATGTCAGTGAATGAGAGTACAATTTGATGCACATCTGATTATTCCCTATTTCTATTTAAAAATAATTCACGTTGATAAAGTTATTTTGTAAAGTTGATTTTTTGCCATTTATTTTAAAATAAAATTACTCTTTCTTTACTGTTTTGCCAGCTGTTGCTTTGGGTTTACACTTCTAATGCCTTGGGAATACACTTCTAACGCAGAAAACTTACAATATGTTAATGATCTTGAGAGATTATATTAATTAAAATACTTTTAAAGATTTATTCCTTGTTTTCTTTTATTAAATAGTATTTCTGATTACTATCACAGATAACATATTTAAAGCATAGAACCAAAAAAGAAATTTGAAGGATACTTTCAGTAACTTTATGTCTGATTAGAGGCAAGACTTGAAATCATACTGATTGGGGAGACAGAACATCTGGGTTCTAATTATGGCTTTTTTTGTTGTGCAAGTTTGAGTTTAAACTTTCTAGGTTTTTGTGTCTATATCTGTAAAATGAGGGATTGAATTATCCAGTAAGCTTTTGTAACTCTTAAATTTTTATTTTTTATTTTTTTAAAGATTTTATTGGGGAATTGGGGGAGGGGAACAGATAAGTTGCTGTCGTTTTGTTCTTCAGTCTAGTTGTGGAGGATGTTGCTTCACTGGCCCACGTTGGTATTATCATTGCGCTCTTTCCGAGTAGGCAGATCAGTCACTGGCCTCAGGATGGCCGCTCATGGCAGCTCACACCGGCTGCCCGCCGCTCACGCTGGCTGCCGGCCACACACGGTAGCTTATGGCAGCCCACTGCAGCAGGGGTTGCAGCCTATGCCCTCTCCATGACTCATGGCAGCCCAGCTCCAGGT